TTTATTAATCTATACCGTTTCTGTTCAATATTCGTGCTGCAATGTCAATCTTCAAAATATGGTACGCGAAAGCATAAAATTTACATCTTGCTTATCACATCTCACTAAAAATATAAAATAACATAAACAAAACGCTGTCTCTCTGCTAGACTCGGTTCGGCTTTGGTAGGGAGTGAACACGGATGGGATAACTTTGGACTGGCCGGCAGACGCAAATTGAAGGACTGGGAGCAGTGAAACAGACGATAAACTAAGGACAAAGGACGTTGCTGGCCAAACCAAAGTGAAACTAAGAAATAAAAAAAAAACTTTAAAAGAGAAAACAAGAGTTTTTCAGCCACAGTCATTGCATAGCAATATTTGCGAGCCCAAACCTTTATTTTATTCCAAAAGTGCCGTAATACAATGTATTTTAATAGAGAGTGAAAAAAGAGGAATTTCTCACTTTTTGCAGAAATCCCCTGGAGCTAAATTTTGAACGTCAAAATCCGGTAATCTCCGGGGAAATCCGGGAATATGGCAACCCTACCTATACTACAATGAGTAAGATGACTGTATAGCTAAAACATAAACAAAATTAATTCCACATGGTAAGAACTCGTGCGTGGGAGCGAGCTGTATTATGTTATATGATAAGAAAGAAATGAGAAAATTTTATAAAGTAAAAGGAACAAATAAAACAGTAACTTCTTTCTTCTCTTTGGACACAACGTTAGGAAACAATGAAAAGAAACATCAGTGTTTACGGTGATTGAATAAATAAGATTTATTAGAAACCAGAAAAAGTACCTAAAACAAGAAAGTAAAAAAATTTGCTGTTTGTTTTTCCTTGACCGAAATTCTAGTCAATCGGGAAACATAAATTTCCTGTGATATCAGCATACATAATGGTGACTTTCATGTTGAAAGACAAAGTAACATTTAGACTATCTAGTTACTTAATTATTGTTTCTTCATAGTGTTACCATACGGCTTATACAATACAAAAAATAAACTGTTAACTCATTTACTTTTTAACATAAAAGATTCTACTATATTTCTGCTCAAGCCTTCTTAAGGAACAAATTTTTTATAAGGAATAATTTATAAAAAGAAAGGATAAAAAAAGTTTCTCATTAATTTATTTCCAAAATACTATTTTATAATAGGTCTAAGTTAACTGATTCAACTAGTTTATAAAACTTGTCAGTTAATCTGTATTACCTAGATGTTATTTTAAGTCCATTTGGTAGGTTTTGCGTGGCCAGACAGTCCAGCCCTGTTCGTACCCCTGGCTTGCACATCCTTGCTGTGCACCGGTCTATACACAGTCTCCTGGCAGATGGACCCTTGTTGTCAGTACCAGGTGAGCAAAGACCCACACTCGCTCGCTACACACGCCTTGGCCTCCTGCTCACCTGTCGTGCTGGTCAGGAAAGACAACTACCGACGGAAAGCGCTACACTCAGCGGTCACGCTTACATCTACACTACTAGTCGCTTGGAAGTTCTACATCAAGTGTATCAAATGACAAGTCTTCTAGTCAGACTTAGTTTAGGTTGTGACAACAGTATAGTTCATCACAGTAGGTTAAGAATGAACTATTTTATTTTAATAGAGAATGAACCTGACAAGAAGTTTTTTGTTTAGTTCCTACGGAAGAGTTTGGCCAGTATTATTGTACGCAGGATGGCTCGAGGATATTTAGAGAGATGTCAAGGAATTTAAAAAGTTATAAACATTCTTTACTAACCTCCATTTCCTTATATGCTTAATAATTTACTTGACACAAACATATATTCGGCTATGTACAATCCATATTATGTTTTCAATTGACTACCCTCTAGGGTTTACTGTAATCTAGAGCTTTTCTTATATATGTAGGCTATTTATTAGGAAATGGTATTCTTACAGTTAACTTATTTGGCCTGCTTTTAGTGTTTACAAACTCATCCCATTTGTCTCTAAACATATATAAAATACTAAAACATGTCATGTATTTTTTTACTGTATACTTGAAAATATAGAAAATATTTTTCTGAAGTGTTGAAAGGAGTTGTTAGGAATAAGATGGTTGATATTGGAAGTTGTTTACCAGCAGTTATCATCTGAAGCACTTTTGATGATGTTATGGAACAAATTATGTAGCATTTTCTGTTAAGTTTGGGAATGTGAAAACATATATTTGTTGTAAGTATGTCACATATTTCTTTTCATTATGAAAATTTACGTGAATTATAAAATAATTTTATTTATGTACAATTTGTAAACAAAGTTTTTTATTTACCCCAGTGTATTCATAATTTTAAGACGATTTCATTTTGTTGTTAATCATACACCTTATTAACAATGAATTTCAAAAAATCATATACCATTTTGAACCATAAAAACTACTAAAACTTAGTTTGATGTTCAAACCAAGTAATTGCTAATGCATGTTATTGAAAAGTTTGATAGATCAAGTATTTAAAATGTTTCACAACAGTGACATTTCACTGATTTGTTAGAAAATGCATCAACCTCAATTATCCATTATCAGATAATGAATTGTGATTATTTTTGGCAGCAGTTTGGATAATTGAGTGGTATAATGACTTTGTGATGACTGAATGTTTTGATGATATGGTATCACTCCTTCAAGTACTACCATGGTGTAGATAAAATCAAACTTGTCATTTTAAGCTTGAGCCCTGAGAAGACATTCAGTGGTAAACTTAGGTGGCTAGCACTAGTGCTGGTGTCCAGGGCAAAATCCAACACCACTACCTCGCCATCACATATTACACTGCTCACGGTCACAGAAAACGTAGTACGTTACCTGGTGGGTCACGGTGGAGGAAGACACTGACTGTGCCCTGTGTGATTGGAATTTTCACATAGTGCTTGCTGTTCGGGCTCTTCCTTGCCCGTCACAAGTATATTTCCAGCACAACATACAAAAGGCGAAATTAATAATTTTCTTTGAGATTACCAAACTTAAAGCAGGTGGGCAATACAAATAAATCCAACTAAAAATATTTTCTGAGCTGAAAAATGAGATCAGCAGTTAACTTATCCATCAAATTGAACAGGAAAGTGATAAAAATATTGTCTCTTAAGAGGTAAAGCATAGGCATAGACTAACAAACACATAAGTATGACTAAGGGAGTATGTTTGGCTACCTGTGGTAGGTACTGAATCGTTTGATACAAAACACAAGTTAAAAAATATATATGTTTCTTAAGTTTTAATCATTTATAATTACGTCAGATATGGATAATAGACTAGACAAAGTATAATATTTTATATATATTTAATTAGTAAATATGATGTTTCAAACATGTTCCTTTTAATGTTCGCGTGATTACACCTTAAGACATTACATGCAGTCGCAGTCCTTTCTATGGGAAATTTGCTGTATGGTGCATCTCTCATAAACGGCGTCCTCTGGCCAGAAATACTCAAACAGAACTTGTATGGATCATAAACATAAACAAATCACGTTGCCCCGAATCCTATACTAATAGCATTATTATATGATTTCGACAATTATTTTTAGCAATGTTAAATAATGTTTATTTTCGGGCCAGCTACGTCATTATTTGTACTGGTTCTGTTCAAGGTTTTCGTGGCCTTGCCCTGACTGAAATCCGTGATCGCGGTACTGTATCATGATCAACTTGAACGTTCACGGAACGTCATGATCATCATCTGCGTTCACGGTGACTTCATAATAATTCCCCACTTTCGTTGTGACATCATGACCACCTCTACATTTGTATTTATTACTAGCTGGCCCGACAGACGTCGTCCTGTCCTAATGTGGTTTTATGTCAAAATGATCGTTCATTTTCAAGATGAGCTCGTTCGCATGGCTCAATCATGTCCTGGTTGAAGTTGAAGTTCGTTCGCTACGCTTACTCACCTTTTGGTTGCAAATTAGCTGTTGTCATAAAATTAAAAAATAGTGCTGCACCTTGTTGGTAAACCTATATTAACTTTTTAATACTATTGAACATCACAGAATCAGAATCTAATTGTTTAGTTGAACGAGTATGTTTTATCTATGGTTGAACCATTGAACCAGCTGTTAAGATTCTTTTAATTCCATTTAAATATGAGTACTCATAAGGTTAACATGGGAAACTCCAGAGCCACTCGGGCGGAGCCCTTTTGACTGATCTGCACCAAACTTCACACAAACCATCCTTGAATAATGCTTAGTAATGCTAATGCCCATGGTGGAAGGAAAAAACATAGGTGTGCTATTCCCACATATTCTGACGTCACTCGGATTGCAAACAAAAGATCACCTGATTGTAACTGCCAAATTAGTATGTATTTCTTTTGATTTGATTGTTATTGTTTTTATAATAATAAAAACAATAACAACCAAATCAAAACAAATACATATACTAATTTGACAGTTACAATCAGGTGATCTTTTGTTTGCAATCCGAGTGACGTCAGAATATGTGGGAATAGCACACCTATGTTTTTTCCTTCCACCATGGCTAATGCCTAAAAGTTTCATTACAATCTGTCGAGCGGTTTCGGAGTCCATAAAGGACAAACAAACAAACATACATTAGATTTGATAGATTCTTTCAAAAACCAATGGTGGCTAGGTTTGCACATTGATGATTGCGGCAACATAGGAAATCTTGAAACCATATATTTTGTATAAAACTGCGGAATTTTCAGTTATTTAATTTCCTTTACAAATCAAACATTTTATGATTTTATTTAGCTCATTATTGGAGTCAGAACAGGTATAGACTATGGATACTTGAATATCATTTGAAAATAAACCACGATAAAAATATTTAACAGTTCAGTGACTAGTTTGCAAGTATGATTTTATGTTAACGACATCACTGCGAACCCTCCATTGATTATAAATAATATTACTTATCAGAAGTTGTATTAAAACTCCATGGAATCACCGCTTTCTTACAAAGCAGACTACAAGAAACGTATCTCATGATCCGATCGAGTAGGCACTGTCACCGCAGTATGCGAGTGTCAGTGTCCTGTCGTCCTGTCATATTTGTCGTGTTTTATTTTTTATTAGAAAAGTATAATATTTTCTCAAAGTATGGCTTAGCTGTTTTACAAGAAAGCGAATTTTAAATATAAAGATGGATATTGTAACTACCAGCCTTGAAGCGCTAATTCGTAAGTACAATATATTAATTGAAAATGGAATTCGGTTGAAGGGGGTTTTAAATTTAACATATTTATTTTTATTTGTAATACTATTAGCAGTGCAACTAAGTAATTAATTAAGCAGCTTAAGTTAAAAACAAACCTGATATAGAAGTACAAACCCACCTTATGATTTTTATAAATCGTGTTGGGAGTATGTTTGATTCAATTTTATCAATAGGCCTACAATCTCTAAGCTAGGCTAGGCCTATAGCCTACCACAGATAAGTAAGACACAGAGGATACATTCAATGGTACACTAAAGTGGTGTCTTTATTTTGCAGTCTCTGGTGTCTATAGCTAATTCTATTTGTCGTCCCCTTCCGCTCTCCTTTTCCCCTTGCCATCACATACTACTTCGCTTACGCGGTAACTTAAGTTAGGAAGACCCTGTGCGGAGACCTGATCTCAATCCTGTAAACTTATTAATATTATCAGCTTGGCCATGTGTTATATTATAGTAGGTTTAGATGAAGCAATAAGTTCCTAATCTAGCTAAGTTGATATTCAGTTTCAGTCATAGCAATTTTAATGCTTGCCTAGTAATGAGAGAAATAAATGCTAGTAGGCCTTAACCCTAACGTTTTGACAGTTTAAGAGTGGCTGGGTCTGTTCTTAATCATTCAGCTGATGAATAAAGCCTTCCCAAAGAAAAGGGTGGTCATAAGTCTGTAGCAAAGCCACACAGTCACAAGTCGTTTCATTCTACTTAAGACTATTAATAAAACTTAAGTACAATAGTCCAATAGTCTATGATTTTACACTCACCTTGCATTTACATTAATCTTTAAGTGCAAGTGGGTCTCTGGAAAGCATTTAAATGTACTGTAACTCATGGCCCAGTAACTTAATCCTAAAATAAAGGTAGGCTAATATAAAAGTTGTATAAGTTACTTACATTGTTGAACAAAGAAAAACAGCGTACAAGCCTAAGTTATAGGTCTAAGTTAGTAGGAAAAGAAAACAAGTTTTCAAAATTTTAAAGGTGAAATCATTCAAATAATAAAAAAAAAAAACTACATTGACATGTTAGCTATAATGTAAATATATGTGGTTATTTTATTGCTTGCCTAACTATTAGAAGATCTCCAGTTTGTTTTAGAAGAAACTCCGTGGTATTTTTATAATTTAAAATTAGATCCAGCAGCTCCGTCAATTATTATTGTACTTTTAAGTGGAACTACACACTAGTCAAAGTCAGTATCAAAGCTACTGAAAGCAACACCCAACTCATCATTATTTTTTGAAGTCTAAATCATCAAGTTACATCCTCATCTTGTAATAGAAAGTGATTTTCAAAATCTTCATCATGATCTAGTTAATGATTTTTTGTAAATTTTTGTTTAACTTACCTGATGACTACCCTGCAGTTTCACCATTTAGTGATCACAACCTTTAGTGTGCATAAAATATACCGTCTGTACTCCTTAAGCATAGTCGTCTTAATAAAAGCTTGTTTTTTTTAGAGCGAGCTACATGCAACCAAAATCAATGTTTGGACACAGCAGCTATTGATGCTTTCTGTGGTCTCGTTAATAAAGAGCCAGAATGCGCTCAAACAGCCACTAGGTTTATCACAGCCAAAGTTCACTCTCTACATGAATGGGAAGCACTTCAAGCTCTTCATGTAAGTAGTCCTTTTAGTCGATCATCAGGAGCTAGTTAGCTTACCATGGATTTAAAATCCACATATTTTTTATAATTTTTTGACATTCTTTTCAATTTTGATATCCAGGTGCAACTACACTTAAAAACAAACACAAATAAATACAAAAAATTAAAATTAATTTTTATTGAATTTTGTTATACGGTAAAACCTCACTAACTCGACTCCCGGTAACCTAACAGTCCTTGTTACTCGACAGTCAACAGCTGACAGGGCACATGGCTAGCTGGCTTTGTCTTACTATTGTGTTCGACTTTTCAAGTTTTAATTGTTGAGTATTCCACATTTCTTTAAAGATTGTTTAGGCCTACTCAATATGTTAACATACTCATGTGGCCTAAGTAATAAACTTATAAGTAACCATTAGTCTGCAATGTATTTATTTATAAAAACCCTTTAAAAATTCAATGTTCTGGACAATCCCCAAACCCGAGAACTTCAGGGTACACAAATTGTCCAGTTAGTGAGGGCTTTACTATTCGCCACAAACATAAGATCTTCCTCAATTTTCTGGTTTAAAGAGTTAGCTAATTGAATAGTTGTCAAATTTGAGCAATAATAACCCAACTGTAGGCTGTAACTTTTCTATGTGCGTTATGGTCAAGCGACTTTAATGTTTGCTTGAGTCCCTCAGACATCTGAACCATCTGTTTTATAAATAATTTTTTAAATCCAAAGTGGGAAGCTACTGCACTCGTAATTTTGTAAATGAATAGTTTAATCCATTGTATTTAAAAAATAAAACTAAGACCAATACAAAGAAAATTTCAAAAATAGCCATTCACCAATGGTTTCTTGGCTTCATAGAAAGCATAAACCTGGCGAAATAAAAGACAAGAGTTGCTACTGTACCCTAAGATCTAACCTTTTTCTCAAGGGAAAAAAAACATCCCCACTCCTCCCTAATTGGATTTTCACTGGAATAAGTCACACGGTGTTTCCTTAAATATACAGATAGGTGCATTCCCTATTTTAAATTACGATACATCATATTTATCAAGTACTCCTGGTTTGCTACTACATTAAAGGTGTGTTAGTGAAATTATTAGCTTAGAATAAAAAAAACCAATTTGCCAAATTTGATCAAAATCTATCCATAAACAAGCAAACTACAACAGTTTACTTAATTCTCCTTAAGAATAACATCCGGGAATTTTAAAATAAAAATATTTTGATTTTTCCCTGTAACTATCAATTGTACAAAAAAAAACTTCAAAATAATAAATTATTTGATTTGATTTTTTAGCTCTGAAAAATGGTTTAAGAGAAATATAGAAAAACTATGTATTGACGGCAAAAGAATAGAAAACTCATTCATAGACAGATTATGCAACTTCGCAATCTCGTTTGAAGTCAAAGTCAAATAACATAGGCTTACTTGTTAGCACCAAATTTCGTCATAACCAGATCAGAATTAGGCTTGTCACACACTGTGTCCGGTCCGGTAAAATCGGATCAGGCATGCCGGATCAGGTAAATTTGAAAACCATTAATTTAAATGGAAGTCCCCACACTGCATCACGTCCGGTGCGTCAGGTGCGGTCCGGTAAAATTATTTTGGATGAGAAGCGATAGGCTTCCGGCAAGCTTCCGGCGCCGGAGAGCTTGCGCATGCGCAGATGACTTTTACTCACCACGTGACAGTGACAGTAGCAGCAGACGTGGTTTTGTGGTGATTGTTTACGCTGTACGTTTTGTTACGAAATGAAGTTCCATAAATTTCTTGAAACTATCCGGAAATACTGAAAAAAAAAATTTTGCTGTCCTCAATCAAACATGGGAACAAGGTATGAAATTCTCCCTAATTTATTCTACTCGCGTTTATACTGTGCACCCACAACCTCTTCTGTCGTCGACGCCCTTCCTCTTCCGAATGTAGTTAAAACTATCTAATTTCTTGTTGGTTAAACACACTCACAGTACCGCTGTCCTCGCATAAACTGGTCGCCTGAACTGGAACGCCTGATGCAGTGTGTGGAAATTTGCCGGATCCGGTGAAAAAGACCGGATCAGAATAAACCAGACCGGACGCATGGTGTGACGAGCCTTAGACCTACTCGAGTTATTATGCTTTGGGACACATATTCATAAATAGCCTAGGCCTATAAATGAATTAGAACGAATGGTGTTTTTGGCCTCTGGGGACATTAAAATGAAAAAGTGACCAGGTCCAGGTCTTACCATGACACTTATGGTAATCAATCATCAATCACTTATGTAATCACGCCACTCATCCTACACTCATCTCCATTCATACTTGGCTTAAACACCTACTTTGTATGGTCGCCATTTCATTGAAAAGTATTAAAAAAAAGTATAAAGTATTAATAGCTTATTCCCTATATGGGTTAAATTCGCTAAAAACATCACCACCAGTATCTGAAGTGATTCATGCGGCTGAATTAATCAACAGTGATAAATGAACTTCCTGTTATTTTATATTGAGTATTTATATTACAATTTCCACCAACTTCATGAACTATTGATTGAAATATTTACTCACTAAGCTATAAATCATCTTTTTATAGTTCGGCCGCTTAGAAAACGACCTGCCCGCTAATGCTAAACCAATGCTGGAGGAGGTCGCTTTCTAAGCGGCCGAACTATAGTAACTCTTCTCTGATAAAATTCCTCACAAAGAAAATTTTCCATTGACTATTACTAGCTTAAACAGCTGAGTTAAACATTTGTCAGTAAGCTTTTAATAAAATTATCACCCCTAACCCCTAATAGATTAAAAATAATAATTGGTTGCTTATTGGTTTACCATTGGCTTTATAAAAGTTGGGAACTCTAGTTTAAGCAATTAATTTAAGCTGCTTGTATATTTATTTGTGGAATGTAAATTTTCTATTACGTAAATATAGTCTCTACAATTTATAAAATTGTTTTCAACTTATTACACAACAATTTAAAATGAACTATTTTTAGGTGCTGGACATGTGCATGAAGAGGTGTGGTGGGAATTTTCATGCTGAGGTTAGTTTTATTAGTTTTCACGTTTTCTTTTCTGTCAACTACATTAATTTAGGTTATTTCATTTGCTATATATTTTTTCTAAGATAGCTTAGTTATCATACCAAACAATCTTAACGTACAACTTAACATGCAAGAAACATGCAGAAAGTACATATTTTTTACAATCTTTACCAACTGAAATGTTAAGAGTTTTTAGAACCAATGAAAAAGATTGTTAATCTTGTTTTGTTGGTTACTCATCACATAAATAAAATTATACACAATTTCCTAAAAAAATGTGGAGGTATATTTCAAGTTTACATCAAAACTCATCTTCAGCCTCTAGTAACAACATATCAACAACTAGAGGCTGAAGATGAGTTTTGATGTAAACTTGAAATATACCTCCACATTTTTTTAGGAAATTGTGTATGATTTTATTTATATAATCTGTAACCAACAAAACAAGAATAACAATGATAATGCCATCACGAAAAAAAAACATACCGGAATGAATCAATGATAAAGAATAATCTATACTTATTTAATACGCAAGCAGATTTATTGTGACAATTACTCCTCCGAAACTACTGAACCGATTGTCGTGTTTTTGGTGTCAATGGAAAGAGCGTAACGTGAAGTTGTGCAGGAAACTTTCTTTTTAAGGAAATAATTAGAGAGTGAGGCCCTGGGACCCTTTAAAGTTTCATATTTCTCCATAAGGATAACATGGGAGATGATTTTTGTTTACAAAAACATATGTTTGTTACTTGAAAATAGTCAAAGTCTACTACATAATAGTTGCTGTGTGTTATGACTGTTAATGTATACTACATTTCAATCAAGGATTGTGTACCTTAAAGTTTACCCATAACGGATCTTAATAGGCCCTACTTTATTTTAATGCTGGGAATAGTAAAATTTAGTTGAGAATAAGTTACCATGATTTAGAAAACTTTACTATAATAATTTATGTATTTAAAATCACAAATATTTGACATTATTAAATCATATTTTAAATAAAACAGCTGATTGACAAATCAAACAAATCATCTACTTCATGTGAATAATGTTGTTACACAAACATATTTTTTTTTTAACCAATAACTTGAGTCTTTTTTAATTCTGGGTGTATTTTGAGTTTGCAGTTCTGAAAGCACCGAGCCAAGTAACTTTTATCTAATTTTCTTTATAAACTAACAGTATTAATGCATTAGTACATGAACTTGACAAGTTAGGTAATTAACTGTCAGTATGCCAAGGGGAAGAAGAGTGGGTCCTCGAAAACAGACAAAGGCGGAGGCACCCATCTAGAAAATCCAACTGAGTTTTTAAATATAGAGGGGTCAGTGGATTGCCAAGACACAGATTAGACTAATAAAAGGGGGCAGTGGTTTTATTGATGTGGAATATTAGTACAGTACATCAAAAAGGGCCTCATTAATGGCACAAGGTTTCATGTGATCAGAATGGTTAACAACTTAATAGAATGTAAAGTCTTAACTGGGACAAGTGAGTGGGGACATATTTTGATTTCGAGGATAAAAATGAGCCCGTCTGAAACAAATTTAAGTTACCTTTTAAAATGGAAAGATGCTAATTTATGTTATCTTTGGCATTTGCAGCACAAGCCCTTTATTTAAAGATCAGCACTGTTCTTACCCAGATCAATTTCAGTCAGGAGCAACTATATTGTATGTTGTTTTAAGTAAGGCTACATCTTTTAATAGGATACGCATATTCATTACGGAAAATTCTGACCAGGGTAATCTTCCTGAAGGTAACATTAAGACTAAAATCGTAGTATTCATGGAAGTGTTTTTGTGATAAAAATATTGTTTTTTAGTGTTTATTTTTAAAAGTATATTCTTTAAACAGCATTGTAAGACCCTCAAAATATGCTTCATATGCCTATTAGTTTGATATGATAAAATGTTTTGTTAAATGTGTTTTAAAAATCTTTAAAAAATAACTAGGAACACACTTGAACTTGAACACTTATTAATTTACTAAATATAATACACATACAGCTAGAAAATGGCTGGATTGCTTCCCTTCTAAGGCTTTATTATTAGGTACTGTATTGTATTTAATTTTCGACGTCGAGTCAATATATAACAGGATGAATTTGTTTTCTAAATTCATATGTTATTTTGCGGGGCATTGAGCCGCACAGGTTCACTAGTTGTATTTAATAGAATAAATTCAGCTCCACACAATGTTATTCTACAGGCATTTTTTTTTTCAAAACTCAATGTCTGTTTTGAGAGGTTGGCAAGTTTCGGTTTCTCAATGAGTTGATCAAACTTGTGTCGCCCAAGTACGCAGGCGCACACACGCCTGACCCTGTCAAGCGCCGTGTGTTGGAGCTGATGCAAGCTTGGACCGTCATGTACCCGAGGGAACAGAAGATCAAGGAGGCGTACGAGATGCTCAAGAAACAAGGAGTGGTCAAGGTACAAATTACAGGCATTGATTATTAGTCATATATTTTGTAATGGGAAAATCATAATGGTAAGAGTTATTAATTTGTCAAATATTCCCACACTACAAAATAAATTGATTTGCCTCGTATAAACCCACAGAGGAGGTTCGACCCTTATGGTAACACTAAAATTTGCCTGGTGGCAAGGAGATATCTCAGAAGGTGAAAAATATTACCCACATCTAGTAATTAATCGATATTTATTACATGAACATTACAACTACGGCAATACATACATTGAAATGCGTTTTAACCCATTGGCGCCGACTTACGAGCGTTACTCGTACGGCCGCTGCAGGCCCGGCGGCCGACTTACGAGTGCCGCTTGTGTCACCGCTAGGCAGCGCCATTAGTTATTTAGTTATTATTATTTTTCGCCCTTTTTGTTTCTTCTTACTATTATAATGTTTATAAATATCTTGCTTCTTGATTTGCGTATTTACTCATTAATTTTAGCGAATAACAAACAATTTTGTGTTGCCATGGAAACCACATATCACCAAAAATCAGCTGCGGTAAGGTAAACAAACAATAAAAAAAAAATGTTATTACTTATAAAAGCACACAACTTTTGATTTTTCTACGTAGGGAATCGATTGAACTTTATAATAGTAGTGTTATTTGGTGTCTGGATTAATCTTGGAATTTGTATATCAAGTTTACTTTCAAAATATTGTTTTTAAAATTTTTATTTTTATAATCTTTATATATATATTTTTTTTTAGTTTAGAACTTTGACTATCCAATTACCACTTTTCTGTAGGCAATTTTACTGTGAACCAAATGGTGAAAGAATTATTAATTTATTACCTAAGGTTTTCTTTCTATAGCAGTTAGAGTAAAAGTCTACAAATTCGGTAAAATTAATTGCCGCCAGTAGGTGCTGCAGGTAGCGCATTAATTCCTTCCCCAATGGGTTAAACGATACTCTATCACAACGGTATACAGTTTGTCGAAACACGCTCCTTTCTCGCGCTAAATCTACAATACACACTTCACACCTCATGGGCGAAACGTAGCACTTTATTACATGTAATGCGATATCTCAAGATAACCGATACATAGTGAATCGGTACATTTACAGGATGGACGATAAACTGGATTTTGTGAAGAGACAGATGCCCCTCCCGATATTCTATAAAACATATTTACGAATTGCGTCGCACAAGACAAGTGCCCCGTAAGATTTAATACGTGAATTAATCTGAGGGTGGGTATAATGACATTCGATGTGTTACCGACGCGCGAGACAAGTGCCTCACGCTGATTAACAGGTTAAAAAAACCCACTCAAAAGACCACCGCACTTCGAACCAAAATATTGAGGAAAATTAGCTCGAACTTACGACTAAACGCCAATGAAGATAATTTTGCTCAGACAGCTATTCTTAAACGTACGGTAATATCACTATGCGAGATATATACCCCACACGGAATATTACACGTAACTTAATAAAATACACACTTCGTGAGTTACTAGAATACCACTAATATTGAATCGCAATTCTAAAGGGGACTTCAAATTGAGGAATACATGATACAATAACACTCTCTGAAAATAAAATTATACTTTATCCTCACTTAACCTACAGAACAACAAAATGGTGCACTCCGAAATAAACTTCTACTAACTTTTCACTTTACAAAACCCCAACCAAAATGATTTATTAATTTAAATTAAGGGCCTTTTATAATCGAACCGACGAGACAGATGCCTCCGCTCGATTATATAGTGTAAAATTTCTAAATTGATTTGGTTTCGAGGTGAGAGACATTTGCCTCTAACCGAGAGCACAGAAAACATATTACTTTAACCCAGAATGCCAACCGCATGGTAAAAAGCATTAAGTGTTTTGAGAGAGCTTTGCCTGTCAATCGTAGGCAGCGCCACCAGCGTTGCTATGCTGAGTGCATGGCAACGCTGGTGGCGCTGCCTACGATTGACAGGCAAAGCTCTCTCAAAACACTTAATGCTTTTTACCATGCGGTTGGCATTCTGGGTTATAGTAGTATGTTTTCTGTGCCGAGAGTGAGAACGTTCGATACATTTTGAACTAAGTACAGGAAAATTAATATCGAGACAAACTTAGAAAATCTGAGATTGTTAAAGAATTAACAGCTTTAAACTTTCGGAGAGACACTTGCCCTTTTGGAAATATGCACCGCTCGGTACTCAGCGACACGACACTCACTTACACATCTTCAAAAATTCATTACTCGATAGCTTGGCGGTACGGCACTGAATGTCGTCTGGTCACCTCCTAGAGCTCCTTCCCCTCTCAAGGTCGTGGTGGGGGGTAGCTATATGACGGTGGGGCCTGACGTACTCCACGACAGACCTGAGATTTACTTATCTCGTGGGAAATTTGAAATTCACTGTCACAATTTATATTTTTAAAAGATATACATGTAACTTAAAGATATATACAATTATCTCTTTCTGGTTTGTGTTAACTTTTTTGATAGGCATATTTTAAATTATTTTTAATTTTGTGCCCATGTGTTTATTGTCATTTGTTGTTTTTATTTCAGTTTTTAATGTCCTTTGTAATTTTGTAGCTATAAACCAATGAACGTCAACTACTAACAGGCTTTGCCTTACGTGATCAGAATTATTTTCACACACATTATTTCAACCTTATATTTAATTGGAATCAAGTAGATTTTTCTTTTTATTATTGCAAATTTTACTGCACAATAACTCGTTGTCAGCGTGAGATATTTTAATAACTTAGTTGGTAAATTAATAGAGTTCAATTAATGAAACACTGTGATCACACATCTTAGGCCTTGGAGGCATCTTGAATGTGAGTACCTAATAAAGCATGTGGCAAATGAGATGATCCGAGAACGGGTCTGTGATTGGCTGAATCTACGTCTTGCCATATACGTTACCTAAATGGACACGAACTACATTACATGATCTTCAACGATAGACTTTACTGTACTATATGATGTTATATATGTAACAATAACTAACTGTCAACAATTTAGCATGTGAAATGAGAATATATTATTGCTATTGCATTCTGATTGGTAGGAAGAGCCACTAAGGCCAGTGCCAGACGTACAACCTCCCCCTCCGCCACGACACCAGGACTCAATCTTTCAGGACATGGAGAAGTCCCGACTGCTGCAGAAACTCCTGCAGAGTAAGAACCCAGACGATCTACAGGCGGCCAATCGACTTATCAAAACCATGGTTAAAGAGGTAATATATCAAAGCATTTGTTATTTTAAGTGCATGAGTACAGCATGGTGTCAATAAATATGTGTAATAGCTAACTTTACTTTATATTACTGTTACCATTGACTTTGATTGGCGTAAGTAGACTTCTCATTCTATTGTAAAATCTCAAGCCTATTATTGTGTGTGTTTCATGTTGGTAATGTATAGAGTGCAATCTATTGTCGACTGAATGCTTCTACCTTATTTAGAGTAGATTTTGCAATTTGGGTTTTACAGGGGTTCGGGTGGTATTAAAAAAAATCAAAACCCCTTCAGCAACCCAAAATTATGTTAAACGTGGTCTCGTGTACTAAAAGTTATTTGAAAATTTACAGCCATGAAAAAAAATAAAAGTGATGGAATGTAAAGTTCCAGTTAAACTAACATATAACATTTCTTGCCAAAACCTTTTTTTAATTCGTCGTATCAAATGAAAATTTGCGTAATTTATCTCCTTTTTAAAGCTCTTTAAAATGATGGGCTATTAGATAGGGGTTGCTAATTAACAATTTTAAGTTAACCCCAGCAACCCCTATTTGGGGGTGGGGGTGAATTTCAAAATACCACCTTAACATTATCCTAGTAACGTTTATAGAAGCTCGTTTGAATATATGCAGCCGTTCAATAATTAACCCGGGTGGGACTATTATGGGACACCCTGACAACCCCTATAATTTATTTATTTGTAGGATGAGCGAAGAGTGGAGATGAAAAGCCGGCACTTGAGTGAGCTGGAGGCAGCTCACAACAATGCTCGGCTGCTCAGCGAGATGCTCGACTCATACAGCCGAGAGGTCAGCTCGCCACAAGATCTTGAGCTCATCAATGAACTCCACTCCAGTTGTCTCAGGTAGATTTGTTTAACATTCTATTTTAAGTTATGAACATCACGGTTTAATGATAAACTTGATTACTACCAAGAATTTTAAATTTGATTAATTTCTGCTATGCAAAGTTAGTTACTGGTTTGAGAAGTTAATCATAATCTGTTTCACGTGCTACACTGGATTTGTGAAATGTTTTGTGACAATAAAGTAGTACGGTATTTCATTTAATTCCTTATCTGAATAATTCTATCAATGTCTGTAAGATAGAATATTCAATTTATTTGGGTCGATCCTGGCAGACGCAGATTGGCCGACCAATTATCATTAGGCTAGGCCTATATACAGTAGAGTCCCGTTAGTACGAAATGGTTGGGACCGGGCCCATTTCGGATTACCAAATATTTCGGATTAAACTTTTTTTTGAACTTTTTAAAAAATTTAAATTTTTTTATTTTTTGACTTTTTTTTCGTCTTAGGACGCAGGCACGAGCCCGGGATTGTTTTTCACATTACTTAAGGCTAGACCTAGTGGCTGCAGCATTATCACTTAATAAAATCCATTTGTGATTTGGCGGACGATGTGGGGTCTTGACTGGAATTAACCCAGCTAGATCCACATTTAATAAATATCGTGCTGATTCCACTACCCAATAGCACTCACGTAAACCCTGCCCAGCGTAAGCCAGCTTTGATAAGTCGTGAATAAATTCATTAACTACATTTTTATTTAATTTTAACTACCCCTCGCCATTGAAACTCGCCTGCAGCAACTTGCCCTAAACATGATATCGATAATTGTAAAGTTAATTTAGTTACATCAGTTAATTTATTGTTGGTTGAACCTGCCCTAATTTAGAAAAGATACCCCTTACCCCCTTTATCCCCCAAAAGATTACAATTAATTAGACATTATCGGTACTTTACCAACTGTTGACCAAGGATCAGGACCTCCTTCTTCTTCGGCGACGGATCTCAGACAAACCTGCTTGCCGGCGGTTGGTCTTTTCCGGTTGGAGCGCTAGTCTCGGTCCGACTAGAGCTGTCTGCCTGCCTTTGGATCAGCCGATGGGGTTGACTCTTACCTCAATATATATAATTATTGGCGGTGATGTGGGTTACTCCCACAGCTCTCCCCCGCTCCCCAAAAAAAGGAGCTGGAGCTAGCATGCTGGACCTGGAACTTCTGGTTAAAAGGGGGCAAAAAATTAGTGTTTGGGGTTTTGGTAGGCAAGGCTGCTGCCATGGCTACACTAGACTGCAGTTCCAGTGTTGGCAATTTACTTAGTTGGCGGGGCTTAAACAGTTTATTATAAATATACAAATAGGATAGTAATCCATAAACAAGTAAATAAATATCAATAACAAATAACAATGAATAAATAGTTTGAATTATAACAATGCGATGAAACATATAATTCTTAAAGGTGTATGATCCTGTAGGGCGCTTTTATGTAGGTTCGCTGCCCTAAGGTTAGCATGTTGATCGCATAACTGACTTAATCTACTTAAAACTACCGGTTTGAAGATGAGAGATGTGTTTGTGTAAGGATTGGTGTGTTAGTGTTGGTGAGCGTGTATCCTCAAACTATTTCGAAGTAGGTTGAGGGGAACAATCCGCTCTTCCCCACGGTCATTAGCCCCTGAACTGCGCTAAAAGATGAAAAAAGTTAAAAAAAAACTAGGCACAGTTCACGGTCTAAAAGAAAATAAAATAATTTTAAATATGCGCAAAAAATGAATTTACTCTAAAACCAATGACGTGGAGGAGAGCTGCAGCTCAGGTTGTAATGGGCGATCGCTAAACCCTGCCGCCTTCTGAAGGGCGTGCCTACGCGAAACACGACCTTAGTCACAGTTGGCGACAGGTGCAGGCTCCATCACAACCCTGTGTGTGTATGTGTGTGCTACGGAGTGAAAAATTGTACAGTATGGACTAACCTAACTTAATCTAATATCACCAGCTGAGAGGGTTCATGAGATGCGTGAGTTTTTGATTTAACGGGTGGGTGGGGGTTTAATTGATGTGGTCGTTCGTGGAAGTCCCTGATTCGGGTGAAAATAGTGCTTGAGCTGAGAGACATGAGCTCGCCTCACAACCTTTCCTGTCTTTGGATCCATTAAAATTACTGTGACAGGTGACGTGTATGCCTGTATAATAGCGGGTTGTGACCAGAGTGGAAGCAATTTAGCATTGATTTTGTTGATTGCCTTGCTCTGGTGGTGTAGTCTAAACATGACCCAATCGCCTATCTTGAAGGATGGGGGGTGTCTTCCCTGATTGTATTGTCTTTCGCGGGCTTCTCGTGCTTTAGTTAAATTTTGGTGCGCTTGTACCCATTTGTCCCTGGTTGTTTGGGGGTTTGTGTTGTAATTTAGTAATTGGTCCAAATCCCAGTTTAGTTCTAATGGATGATTGATCTGAAAACTTAAAAAAAGGTCTGCTGGGGAATATCCGGTGCTTGAGTGTTTGGCTGAATTAATTTTGGTCCCAATCAGTTTGATGATCTGAGTGATAAATTCGAATGGCTATTTTGATATTCTTGTTCACTCGCTCGGCATGGCTTGGGTTTGGATAGTATGGAGTGGTGGTTATGTGGCGGATCCCTAACTGAAGACACATGTCTGAAAATTCTTTAGATGTAAAAGACGAAACGTTGTCTGACACCAGATATTTTGGGAAGCCGAAGTAAGCAAAGAGGCCTGAGCGTAGAAGTGAAACTGTGGTTGCTGACGTTGTGTTCTTGGCCGGAAGAAAAATTGCAAATTTTGAAAATGAATCGACAATTGTGAGAAGGTATTTATTTCCTTTCTTGGAACGTGGTAATGGACCAATGTGATCTATGAAAATTTTTTCAAATGGTCTTGTCGGTACTTCGGAGGATAAGAGTCCTGCTCTAGAATTTAGGGCTTGCTTAGATCGTTGGCAGAAGGTGCAGGTTTTGACCATGTCGGTTATGGTTTCCTTAAGGGTTGGGGACCAAAAATGCTGCTCGATTCGAGACCAAGTCTTTTTGATGCCTAAGTGAGCTGTGGTTGGGGCTAGATGATAATATTTAAAGAGAAGTGGTATTAATCGGTCTGGAATAACTACTCTGGGTTTGGTTTGGCTTGGAAATTTGTGTGTCAGTACGTTGTCTACCATTGAATAGTTTGGTGGTGGTTTTTTTCCTTTCAATGACTTAATGATTTGTTGTGTAACTGTGTCTTCTGACTGATGTTCCCTAATATCTTTAAAAGCGTCTGGTATTTTAAATAAAACATTGATTTGATGTGGGTGATCTGATGTGGGTGAACAAGCTACGGGTGATGTGATTGGGGGTGGACAAGCTACGGGTGATGTGATTGAGGGTGGGCCTTCCTCGAACATGCGAGAGAGACAGTCGGCTACTACGTTGTCTTTTCCCTTAATATGATAAACTGTGAATTGGAATGAATTGATTAGTGTGATCCAACGTGCGATCTTGCCTACCTGTCTAGGATGGTTCAAAAGCCAGGTTAGTGCGTTAGAATCTGTATATAACTCAAAATGTCTGTGTTCTAAATATACACGGAATTTCTCGAGGAAGTGAGTTATGGCAAGCGCCTCTAACTCGAAGGCACTATAATTTTTCTCGTGTATGTTTGTGGGACGTGAACCATATACCACTGGCAGAAGTGCATCGTCGTACCTTTGGGACACTATTCCACTAATGCTAGTTCTACTGGCATCTGTATGCAAGACAAAGGGCAGATCAAAATTTGGCATCTTAAGGACTGTAGCCGAAGTTAAAGATTGTTTCAATGAATTGAAGGCCGTTTCCTGCTCTTTTCCCCAAGTGAACTTTTCACCCTTCTTTTTGAGTTTGTTTAAAGGAGCTGATATTTCGGAGTAATTGGGGATAAATTTAGAATAGAAGGCGGTCATACCTAAAAATCTGGACAACTGTTTGAGTGTTCTAGGGGTTGGAAATTCATCTATGGGTTTGGTTCTAGTGTTGCTAATTGATAGGGAGTTGTTTTTGATTTGATGACCTAAAAATTCGATTTCCTGCGAAGCTATCACCATTTTTCCGGGATTGACTGTGAGACCTGCTCGTTCGAGGCGACGAAGTACCTCTTGGATGTGCTGAACATGTTGTTCAAAGGAGTCTGAATAGATTACTAAATCATCGAAAAAAGAAAAAACATATTTAAATTTGATATCACCTAATACTTTGTTCATCAAATCGTTGAGTACCATAGAACCGTTGGCCAGTCCAAAAGGGACATAATTAAATTCATATTGGGCCCAAGGGACCACAAAAGCTGTCAAGGGCTTTGACTCTTCATCGAGGGGTATTTGGTTGTACGCTGAATTGAGGTCTAAAAGAGTAAACCATTTGGCCTTACCTAAATACTGGAATGCCGTTTCAACTGTGGGGGTAGGGACTGCTTCTAGGGATAACCCATTATTTAAGGCTTTGTAATTGACGACCATTCTCGTTTTCCCTCCTTTTTTGGGAACTGTAAATGCGGGAGCTGCGAAAGGTGAAGTGGATTCCCTAATAACGTTGTTTTTTAAAAGCTCGTCGATATGTTGTCTTAAAATTTCTGCTTTTGGTGGTGAAAATTGGTATGGGCGGGACTTGGCTTGATGACCTGGTTTCATGTTTATATGGTAATTGATGAGATTGGTTCTTCCTAATTTCTTGGTTACCGTATTGGGGAACTGCTCAATTAAATTCTTAAGTTTGCGAATTTGATCGTTTGTGAGATTGTCACCAAAGGTTGGGCCTATTGGTTGTTGTTTGATTTCCTGTGGTGAATCCTCGCCGAGTGTTAATATAAGAGGTTGGGTGTATGGGAAAATGATGGTTTGCTTTGCTATGTTTATTACTGCTTTTGTATATTTCAAAAAATCTACGCCTAAAATAACTTTGACTGGTAATGTTTCGGCGATGTAAAAGGGAAATGTCCATGAGAGGTATTGAATTTTAAAGTGAAGATTGACCTTGAATTGAAATTTTAAAGAGCTTGACGACGCTGTTGTGGCTGAAGTGGAAAC